GGGGAGGCGTGGCCGGCGCCGGTGTCATCGAATGTGTCGTCCATGGCGAGCGGCTGGAAGCGCGCGGGCAGAAGGGTTTTCTATCCACCGCGACCTAAATGGACGCGTGGGGACGAAACGGATCGGCGCGTTGGAGCTGTTCTGAAGTCGCCGCGGCGCCTCTCCTCGTTTCTATCGCTTGGCTCCGACAGCCGCCGTTGTTTGAGCGAAACTGCAGGGTTCGGACCTTATTTTGAAGAGCAAAAAGTGCACGGGTGCAGCGGCCTACTAGCCCAGCGCCCACCTATCAGCTTTGCCGAGTCCCGAATTCAAAGCCCACGTATGCAAAATAAAAAAAATTAATACGTGTGATTTCATTCTCAAAGCAAAATGGATGGAATATGGAGGGTTGTCTCAAAAAAAAAGTTGAGAAAAAAGGACGACAAAGTAGTCAACTAATGTTCTTTTCCTCTCGGGCTCGCGACTAGAAACCCTAGCCGCAGCCAGGAGAGTCCCTCCGCCTCGTTCCTTCGGCGGCTCCCCTCCGCCGGCGACTTCGGTCGTTGGTGGTGAAGGGAGTCGCGGGATCTACGTGTGTGGATCGTGTAGCTTTAGGTTTGGTTCTAATAGCTTTGGGTTTTTGGCCGTTCATTGTCTTCAATTTGGAGGCGGCGACGGCGACACTGAATAAAGAAGGTTCAGATCTGTCTCCAACGAGGAAATCGGTTCTATGGTTAGGGATGGATTTGAAAATCAGACTGTTCAAGTAAGGAAGGTGTGGCGACGGTATCATCCCCGGGCTCCGTTGTTGTGACGACATTTGCTCCAACGCCGGTGTGGAGCTTGGGAGGTAGTCCAGAAGCGGATGCAGATTGTGGTCTGCATCGACGATATCTGAAAGACGAACGTGTGCTGGATTCGTGGTTGATGATGGCAGGTATGGTTTTCTCCTTCGACGTCTTAGTCGTGGTGTGGGGTGCCAGATCTGGAGTTCGGCGGCGTGTCCGGGGTGTTGCCCCGGTCTGATTCGTCCAACGATAATGACTTTACTTTTGGTGAGCCACCTTGGAGGTCCACAAAGCTGCTTATCAGCGATGGAGCCACGTCAAGCTCGGGTGAGGAGGTGACCCGTCATTTTTTCCTTTGGTGGCTGTTGCGGTGGTGCCGGAGGCAGGTGACGGGAGTTGGTGTTAAGTTCAGCGATGTTCTGCTATCTTTTTAGTTTTGTTATGTCGGTTTTTAGGTGACTTGTATCTTATTTTTTATGATATGAATGAGACACGTATTACCATGTAAAAAAGTAGTCAACTAATTTGTATTCATCTGCTCATTTAGTTTGAAGAACACAACAATTTGGATGCTGCACCTAATGCAATATATCATTTAAGCGATTGTGAAAACTCTAGCCGCCCCCCGCCATCTTCCCCTCTCGCCGCCGCTAGGGTGCGTCATCGGGCAAAGCCCGCACGGCGCTGGCAGCGTGGAGGTTTGGTTCAAGGGCGCTTGTTCGGGGAGTGTTGGAAGTCTTGGAGAGCTACTGCGGTTGGAGAAGGAGATGAGGGCTTGGTTGAAGATCTTTGTAAGGCGGTGCTCAGCGGTGCGTTTGCTGAAGCGGGCAGAAGAATCTAGTGCAGTGTGCTTCTATGAAGGTTGGGCTTGGCTGGGCCATCGGAGAAGATGGCGTCGGTGCAAGGCCTTGGACGACGATGAGTTCAACATGGGAAATTTTTCACAGTTCAATTTTAGAGATTCTTCATGTCTGACTTGGGACAACATGCCGGCAACACTTTCCTAGATAGGAATAATGTCTTCCTGGCCCTATCCCCATTTTGTTGGTATGCTTATCACTGCAGAGGCCGTGTGATTTTATGTCTCACGGTCACACCGCCACCGCGGCCTGAGTTCTACCTCTCGCACGTAGGCACATCGCCACTGTTTCTTTTCCTAGGTGCCCACGGGGTGAGATGGAGGGGTCAGCAGGCGCCTTGCGTCTAGGGGTGGAAACGGATCGGATAGTGCTCTTATCATTTTCATTTTCATATTTTCAAAACAAATACGAATTCGAATACGGATGTTATCAGATACAGATGCGGCTCGGATGTTATTCGAATATGGATACGTATCGGATGTTTTCTTGATTCGGAACAGATACGAATAATATCGACATATTGCTTAAGTAGATTAGTCAATAGCTATGTGATATGAAATAATCAACTTGTCACACGCAATAAGTCAATGATAAATAGGTTTATGAATAAATACTATTGTAATGCATAATAATTTTTAAGTTTAATCATACAAAAAGTAAAATTTGACCACTTATTTGGCTTTTATGTTGGGTAATTGGAATATTGGGCCTAGAATTTTGAAAACAGTTTTGCTAAAGCACATCTAGATGTGCCATAATGCATATCTAACTCCTATATCATTGATCTTACGTTGAGATTCGTGTGGATACTTTTCTTTTCTTTTTCCTCTTCTCCTCTTTATGCTTGATTACTCACTTAGATGTGCAATAACTAAAACACATCTAGATGTGCCCTAGACACACCCTTTTGAAAAATACCTCCCATAATCTTATCCGGATACAGATATATCCACTTCTATATCCATATTTGTGTCAAAATGTCCTACCATATTTTATTTTTTATTTTTTTAATAAATTCGGATACGGATAATTTCTATTTCCATTTTGGTTCGGATGCGGATGTTTCGGATACGAATATTGGATATTTCGGATTATCCGCTACCACTTTCCACCCCTACTTGCGTCTCCCACGTATTGACATGTCAATTGACTTTTAGCCTAAAAAACTGCCGAATCTAGCTGCATAGCATGCATAGAAATTAGAAAGAAAAAATATTTAGTATTAAAATGAGATGAGAAGTATGCCCAAAAGGATAAAAAATAATTGATGGCAGTCTAATGTGCATTGCACGTGAATGGTTATCCGCTGGTCTTAGGGCCATGGCGGGGCGGTCGATCCCGGCCCTTGCCGGTGGGAGGGCTCCATTTTTAGATGTTTCAAGTTTTGTTAGGCTTTGTGTCCTACTCAAGAAGACAAGACGACAGCGGCTCCCTGAAGATGGAATAAGGTCTTCCCCGCCTAGCCCCATTCTGGTGATGTGTCTAGCATCGTCGGTGGGCATGTGGAGGTGTGTCTCTGGCAGATCTATCCTTGATGGATTTGCTCGGATCTTGTCGTAGTTCGTCTACGTTTGTGTTTTTTCAGGTTGGATCCTTCCGATCTAACCTACTCTTCATCGGCGGCGGTTGCTGTTCTGCTGCGCTGGTCTTATGGGGTCTTAGCACGACGACTTCCCGACTGTCTACTACATCAAGTTTTGCCTGGCTCTGACGAGGGAGGGGCGATGACGGCGGCGCACCTTCGGCTCACTTCAGTGCTTGTAGTCGTCGCTAGGTGGTCTACGGGCCTGGATGTAATTTTTATTATTTCTGGCATTTGTTGTATTGCCATGATTGAAGATGAATAGATTGAAAGTTTTCTCGCAAAAAGAAAAGGCTACTAGTGGATGCAAAGGAGAAAGAAAAGAAAAGGTAAGAAGAGATCTCCAACTAACAAACGGTGCAAGTGTGCCCGTGATTTGGTTGGATCTTGTAGAATGATAAGATGGGATTTGTACATCTTGTATCTTGTATGGCAAGTTACCGTATGTTACAATCATGGAATTAAACTTTTGGCAAAAAATGGACTGGACCTTAATTTGGGTAAATGTCTTTTTTGAATTTTGTTTTTCACAAAAAAAAATAGTTTTTTCTTTGGAGTTAGAAGAAAGAGAGTTAAAAATAAAGTGAATTATGAAATTAAACAAGCATCATGCGACCGCCAAGAGGAATAAATTCATTACTAATGATGAAAACTTAGAGCAAGAAATCGTTGCATCAGAATAGAAAACCACTCAAGCCAGCAGAACGAGATTTTATGCTGAGTATATAAAATTGAGCATCATCAGAAGAGAAAACCACATATAAACTCAAGCCAGCAGCACGGCATTTTCTTTTTTCGAACACACGTCCATTCATTCAAGGCTTTGATAAATTTTTGGGTGAAGGCTACAACAATCAGTAGTCAATTATGTAGTTTACAACGCCTGATGCGGCCACCAAGAGAAATAAAATCATTAGTGATAGTGAAAACTTAGAGCAAGAGATAAGTAACATTGCGCATTAGACAAGAAAAACACGTATATTGATGCGGCCACCAAGAGAAATTGCGAATCAGCAAAGATTTAGTATTAAGAGGAGATCAGAAGTATGCCCAAAAGGATAAAAATTAATTGATGGCAGTCTAATGTACATTGCACGTGAATGCAAAAGAGAAAGAAAAAAAAAAGGTAAGAAGAGATCTCAACAAACAAACTATGAAATATCATTTCTTTGGTGCCAAGGCACGTGCCCGTGATTTGGTTGGATCTTGTAGAATGCTCAGATGGGATTTGCATTTTGTATAGCAAGTTAACTTGCCGTTACACCGTATGATTAGGATCAAAACGGAGGAAACAAAGTTGCTGTGGTTGTAGGGCAAGTCTGATGCTCGACGGTAAGCCTGATGCGGCCGCCAAGAGCAATATACTGATGATGAAAACTTAGAGCGAGAGATAAGTTAACGTTGCATCTGAATAGAAAACAACTCAAGCAAGTAGAACGAGATTTTATGATAAGTATATAAAATTGCGCATCATCAAAAGAGAAAATCACATATAAACTCAAGCCAGCAGCACGGTATTTTTCTTTTTCCGAACACACGTATGTCCGTTCATTCAAGGTTCTGATAATATTTCGGTTTTGCCTAAAGTTTTGGGTGAAGGGTACAACAATCAGTAGCCTCCTTAATTACACAAGATTGCCACCAAATAGAAGCAACCAAAATCATCACAGATGCTTGCGTTTTATTAAGATAAGACTGACACACGAACTAAACTTAACTCATCCCTAATAATATAAAAACGGAGCTAAACTCCCCTAAGATTCAACCCGGACGGCGCGACACCGAGACGAGCTAGTTGGTGCCCTTGCTGATGAGCTCGAGGGCGGTGGCAGTGGTGGGCAGCGCCGGGATGGCTCCCTTCTTGGTGGTGCAGATGGCCCCGCAAGCGTTGGAGAACTGGAGCACCTCCCTCAGCTTGGCCTCATTCTGAACAATCACAAGTCATAATGGAATTGAATTCATCAATCAGCTGATTAATAATTACGTAGTTTCTGCTTACGTAGAAGATGGAGTCATCCTTTGCGACGTTGATCAGGAGGGATCCAACAAAGGCATCGCCGGCGCCGGTGGTGTCGACGGTGTCAACAGAGTACCCTGGCAGGGAGCCCTTGAAGTCCTTGGTGAAGTACCTGCACCCCTTCTCACCGTCGGTGACGACAAGCAGCTTTAGGCCCTCGAACCAGAGGGAGAGGACGTTCTTCTCGTCGTGGGCGTCACCCTGGGTGAGGAAGGCCACCTCCTCGTCGCTCACCTTGATGGCGGCCTCCTTCCAGATGCTCATGATGCCATCGCGGGCAGCCTGGTCGGAGGGCCAGAGCGGGAGGCGCACGTCCTCGTCGCTCACCTTGATGAAGTCGGCCTCCTTCCAGATGCTCATGATGCCATCGCGGGCAGCCTGGTCGGAGGGCCAGAGCGGGAGGCGCACGTTGGGGTCGTACGAGCATAGAATGCCGGCCGACTTGGCGGCACGCATGGCGGCGACATGGGCGGAGCGGCAGGGCTCGGTGATGAGCGAGATGGAGCCGTAGTGGAAGATGCGAGCTCGGCGGATGAGGTCCAGGTTGAGCTCGGCTTCGGTGAGGAGCATGTCGGCCGACGGGTTGCGGTAGAACATGAACTCACGCTCTCCGTTGGACTTGAGGGTGACGAAGGCCAGGGCGGTGCATGCGTGCTGGTCGAAGAGGCAGCCCTCCGCATTCACGCCGTTCTGCTTCAGGATGTCCACCAGCATGTGGCCGAACTCGTCGTCGCCAAACTGAAATAAAAATAAACATCATCATCCGATTACAATTTCATATGCGAAATAACTACGTTATATGTAACTTCTACACGGTTACACGGTTGGATTTCACATGAAGATTCATGAGGATTTTTTTCTTTTATTTTTGTATCATTGATTGCGAAAATAATCCATCTTTGAAAAGATATTGTAAAACGGCTACTTCTTGTGTCAGATTGGATTAGTGCTAGATTTGGAGTGATCAATGACCTGAGGTGCAAGTAATAATAATAGTCGAAGAGCCAAAGAGCGCGATTGCTATCAATCACTGGATCTAACGCGCGCCCGGATGGCAAACAAACGCAAAGACATGAGAGTCATCATATGTTATCATGACAACGATTGATCAATGCGTACCTTGCCAACGAAGGCGGAGAAGCCCCCGAGCTTGGAGATGGCGCAAGCGACGTTGGCGGGCGCGCCTCCGGGCGCCCGGCCACGTTTGGCACAAAGTCGATCAACATCTCGCCGAACGAGACGACGAGGCCAGGCGCCGCCGCGGCAGCTACAGTATCACCGAGAGGTGCCATTGGATTGGAACTTACAAACGAGAAAGCGAACCGTAAGGAAGAATCGCTGTTGGGTGGACTGCGAGTTGAGTCGAGAGGCGACGGCCTTATAAAGGGCTGCGGGCGGGGGGTTGGCTTGGCCGAAGGGCCGGTTGTTATCAAATCTTATCCTAATACGTTACAATCCGCTAGTAATCAGTTCGGGTTTGGCTAACTCTTTTTTTTTGCATGTAAAGATTTAGACAATCATGGCAACAATGAGTAATTGTCCGGTTCATGAAGGATTTTTCTTGAGTAGACATAATTATGTACTTTAGACTGACCGACCAATGTTAACACTACTGGAATTTTCGTATACGCCGGGTGCTAGGCTCTTCGCCAAGAGCCAAACCACGAACACTCAGCAAAGTAAACGACACCGAGAGCAACACTCGACAAACCTGGCTTCATGGCAACTAGCTGACGTTTCCGACATGGGCTCACGGCGAACAAGCACCACACGGCAAAGAGAAGCCACGTGGCATGCCCGTTCGCAACTGACGGCGCCGTCACTTTCTGTTACATATACCGAGAGCCGAATATCGACACTCGGTAAAAACACGTCACAGAAACATTCCTACCTGACATGTGGTCCCACTGGTCATATTTATCAGTAAACCTTTTAATTTTTTGCTAAATATTTAAAAAGAATAATATGACGATGTCTTTGCCGAGAGCCAGCCTTGGCAATGCTCGATATACGACTATTGACTAAACCCTTCGAAACTGACCAATGGGCCTGTGTGTCTCACATGGTAGTTCAACTTTTATCGAGCGTCACAACCCTCGGAAAAGTGTGGCACAACTGTACTAGTAAAGTACTCAGCTGATCCCTTTTTCGAGAGTGTCCTCGGAAAAGAATGGCACAATGGTAGTTTGAGTGCTCAGATGACCCCTTTTCCGAGAGCTATGCTCGACAATCTCTCTTTTTCCAAGTGTAGCTCTCGGAAATGTGTCCCGTTGCTTCTGTTGTGAAGCTCTTTCTTATCTGATCCCTGCAACTGAAAACAACTACAGTACAATTTCTGTATACAAATGCAGTGCAGAAAATGTTATCATAACAAAGGAATGTGGGAGCTCCTAGAATTTCATCGGGCCACACATCACACAAATAGGCATAATTTAAAGTAGTTCACATAGGCCAATGTTTCATACTAGTACACATCGCACACAAGTTCGCAAATTCATACATATGGTTCACATGTTCATACAACATCTTGAGGAGGAGGAGGGGCATCATTTCCATCGGGCTAAGGTTTCGGAGGAGGAGGGGGAGGAGGGGCATCATTTCCACCGCCTTGAGATTGCATAAGAGCCTATAAGAGTAGAGTCACGTGAGCATTGTTCGTCGCTGTATAATGAATGTTCTACCTCTAGTTTAGAGAATGTTCTACCTGTAGTTGACTCTCGAGCAGCTTGAACCTTTCGTTCAGTTCTGCTCGTTCCTTCTCTCTGCTCTCCTGCTCAACCTGCCGCCTTTGCTCCTCCCCCTGCCGCCTTTGCTCCTCTTCAGCAGCCCGTTGGTCCATTACATCCTGTAATATAGCATTAGGCTCATATAGGTTGCAAGGGTGCTATTTCGAGGCATGGACATAAATGAATGGTTATGATGCCAACCTTGAGACGCGCGATCTCACGTGACGCGACGGTGGGCAATTCCGTATGGACAGACTTGAGCATGTGCTCGACACATGTATCTCGTGGAGTTTGCGATGCGAGGAGGTGGCGATCACTGTCGGTGTCAAAACCGCCCGATCTCGGGTAGGGGGTCCCGAACTGTGCGTCTGAGGATCGAAGGTAACAGGAGACAAAGGGGACATGATGTTTACCCAGGTCCGGGCCATCTTAATGGAGGTAAAACCACACATCCTGCTTGATTGTATTTGATGAGTGTGGGGGTTACAATAGTTGATCTACCTCGAGATCGTAATGGCTAAACCCTAGATGTCTAGCCTATATGAGTTCTGATTGCCTCTACGGACTAAACCCTCTGGTTTACATAGACATTGGGGGGGGGCTAGGGTTGTACAGAGTCGGTTTATAGAAGAAGGAAACTACACATCCGGAAGCCAATCTTGCCATCCACGCAAAGGAGAGTCCCATCCGGACACGGGGGAAGGCCTTCTACCTTGTATCTTCATAGCCCATCAGTCCGGCCCATATCAGACAGCCCAAACACTCGAGGACCCCTTAATCCAGGACTCCCTCAGTAGCCCCTGAACCAGTCTTCAATGACGTTGTGTTCGGCGCGCAGATTGTCTTCGGCATTGCAAGGCGGGTTCCTCCTCCGAGTACTTCAAAGCAATTTTCTGAATAAAAGAGCGGTATCCGGCTCTGTATAATAGTCACAACCCTCAACCACGAAGGCAAAATACTTAATCAAAATAAGGTTTGTCAACTAACAACTTTTTTCGGCGAAACTCCGCGTCTGGCCTCTTTATCCTTTCGAACCATTTTTAGCCTCCCACTTCATGTTTCGAGGCGCGACCTCTAATGACACGTCTTGTCCAAGCAGAGATCGTGTCCACTTATTGCAGGATCTTCATCAATACGGGTTTGAGTAATCCAACCGTGCCATTCGCACGACCCCTTGGGACCAGGCGAGTTTCAAGGCTTAAGGGGGGACACTTGATATTCACTACCTATATAAGTGGATAATGATCTCACTTTTCACCCCACACCTTCTTCCTTCTCCGGTTTCCCATCCTCAAGCTCCAGCGCCCAAACTTCAATCTTTCCCACCGCCACCAACCTCTCCAGCCATGTCCGAATCCGGCTCACAGGGCAAGTGGGTGGTGTAACACCCTGATAGTCATGCTACGGTAACCGACACTAATGATGCCATGTCATCAAGATTTACTAAGTCAAGTTATCACTTAATGAATTCAAAGTCAAATTCAAATTGAAATTGCAAGTCAAATAAATTATTTCTTTTGGCAGTAAAAATAAAATGTTTGTAATATTGCAAAAATTACCAAAGCTGTTATAAAAATAAAACCAACACTTTCTAAAACCCAAAAATTCCCCTATAAATTAAAACAGTGGACCAACAACACATTACTTGGCCTTTTTGATTTCTAAAAATATTTAAACCGTTTCAAAAGACCTTAAACTTTTTGTGGTAGTGCTATATAATGCAATGATGATTATGTGACAGGTTGCATAATTTACAGAAGTCATTTGGTGGTCAAGCAATTTACAAACCGGAGCTAAAATGAAAAACTAGAAACAAAAGGAAAGAAGAAATACTAATACTGTTGCACTAGGCCCTAGTTGCCACAGTGCAGCCCAGCCCACCAAGCCATGGCCTTCCCTCCACCTCCCGCTACAGGAGGCAGAGGAGAACCGTGGCGCTCATCTGAGCCCCCTCGCCGTGGATCACCTCCACGTTGCCTCTCCAACACTATAAACATGTCCCCTGGTAACCTTAGGTCCGCCTCGACCGATTCCCCCTCTTTTTCTCATCACCCCCTTCCCGTCTGCTCGACATCGAGCTCGGTCGCTCGATGTGGTGACCACATGCGTCATTCGATGCCACGGTTCGCGGCCACCCCTAGTCACGCGAAGACGTCCAGTAGCCTCCCCGATACCATCTCCTTCGACTACGTATCTGGATCGAGCGGAACAACCAGTGTACGCGGCACCATCGTCGGTCTTCTTCGTCGGTCGCCGCCATCTCGCCGTCGATTGCTACCACTCCGGTCCACCTCCGGCCGCCCCGACCTCGCCGTCGCGCTCGTGGTGAGATTCTCTCCGGAACCCCCATCTCCCCTATGTCGATTGGTCGCCGTAGCCGCCTCCACCCGCCAAGGCCACCATGGCCGAAGCTCGTCTTGTGCCTGTCCACAACCGCACGCCGTGGCCCCGTCCGGATCCCGTACTCGCTGAATCCGCCCGCGCCCGCGCGCACCAGCACCTGCCCGGGCCGTGCCTTGCTCGTCCACTGCTATTGTTGCTGTCCCGTGCGCTGCGTGCCGCCATCGTTGCCCTCTGTCTCTGCTGCTAGCTGCCGGCCGCACTACCTGCTGCTGCCGCTTACTACCCCAACCGCCGCCACCTCCTGCTACGTGCGTCGGACCGCGCTACCCCGCCCGAGACCGCGCACCCTCGCCCTTCTTCTCCTCCCGTCGCCGCTCACTCCTACCCCCCGCGGCACGCTGCTGCTCCGGCAGCCTAGCACCACATCGCCGGAGGCCGCCGCTGCCCACCCCCCCGCGCGCCCCACCGCTGGCGGCCGCTTCCGCCTCCGCCCGGGCCTGCTTGCGCGCCCCCTGTGCCGAGCCTTCCCCCGGCCAGCACCATGGCCACCGGCGTCGTACTCTACGAGTACGTGCGTGCGGGCACAACCTCACTAGAGGCCGATTTGGGCCACTGGCACGTGGGCCCGACCCTCCTGTTAATTAG